CAAGCACTACTGGCCTTTGCGCTAATAATCGATATTATTATATGTTTTTTAATGTTCTCACTTCATTACATCACATTTCAGACGTACGCTGTAGACAAGCATTCTACTGTTCACTTAAATTTTCTATTATTCCTGAATTTACAGATGATAACGCAAGCAAAATTCCTTGCGAATTTCTTGGTAATCATTGTCAATCGGAATGGCTTGTGTTGCCTGAATCTCCATTTATATATGGCTTCTTTCAATTTGTCTATTTAACAAATCGATCAATCGCTGAATTTGATCGTACTATCGTGCCTGATTTTATGTGTTTTAATGCAAGTCGTTGTCCTGGATTAGTATATTGTTCAATAAATATTGGTATGCATAACGGACTCACATGTTGTAAAACGAATAATCTAATAAATAGAACATTAATCCTATGGTTTCAGTTAGATGATTTTTTGTTTGATCTTAGTCAACGTTGTTTAACAATTGGTACGGATCAAGTATGTTCACATTCATCGTTATTTCATTGTTCACGTTCATTAAAATGTATTTCAAAACATCGATTAGTTGATGGTTATAATGATTGTTATTACCAAGAAGATGAATTATTTCCTACTTGTCAATTAAATGATTCAAAACGTTTTATATGTGCATCTAATCCAGAAAAATGTTTATCATTAGTTGCTATTGAAAACGGAATAAAAGATTGTGAACATGGAGATGATGAATGGCCTGAAAATCGACGAGATATTCAAAGGAATCCTATGCCCTTTGCAATATTTTGCGATGGAGAAAAGGATTTATTTTCAATGGATGCATTCAATAATACAGACGAAACTAATTGTGAATGGTGGCCATGTAATAATCCATACTCTCGATGCGATAACGCTTGGCACCGTTTCAATGGTGCTGATGAACTGAATTGTCCTGATGCACAATGTTCACTAAGCGAACACTTATGTGGGTATCGTGGTTCTGAAAAGCCTATTTGTGTGTCATATCTCCATTTTATGGAGAAACCTTTGCAATCTGTAATAGGACCAACTCGTCTGATCTATCTTACTAATAAAACCGATGCTGATTTAAACGACTATTTCTTTTGGAATGAAACGAAATGTATTACGTCAGAACATCTAATTTATTCCCCATCAAACTCATCAATAATTCATGATGATAATTGTTTTATACAAACCAAAATACCTTTGCCGTTTACATTTGACACTTATCGGCGCGATTATTTATCTCAGAAGTGTTCTCTCACAAACCAACTTATTTTTAAAAGGAAACCAAAACAATTTCTCCAAACATTTGGATTTAGTTATTTTCCATCAACTTCTATTAATTCTTCAGTTCCACAACCATCTCAAGTAGGTTTGAATATAAGTACTCCGATAAAAAGTCGAACAAGAGATTGGTATTGTAATCGAGGAATTCCTCTTTTGTTCAAAAATAATCAAACAAAAAAATGTCTTTGTCCTTCATCTTATTTTGGTGATCGATGTCATTTACAAAATCAACGTATTAGTTTAACATTGCAACTAATTTATCGTGCAATTGCAGATGTTATAAATTCTTTTCAATTAGTAATCATGCTTATCGATGATCAAGAAACAATTTATCCTTATCACGAGCAAATTATATACGTACCAAAACGTGATTGTCAAAAGAAATTCAATATTTATTTACTTTATCCTCATCGACCGAAAAAACTTTCAAGTAATTATTCCGTACGTATTGATATTTTTAACAAAGATTCATTAACATATTGGGCAACTTGGCATCTATTGATTCCTTTTCAATTTTTACCTGTGAATCGAATTGCTACACAATTATTTATTCCGCCTACTACACAACAACAATTTGAATCATCATGCAGTTTATCTTGCGGACAACATGGTCGATGTATAAAATATATTAATAAAAATTCCTCATATTTTTGTCAGTGTGATCAAGGTTATTCTGGTCGACAATGTAATATTCAACATTCTTGTTCTTGTTCATCAGATTCATTTTGTCTTACTTCATCTATTTATTTATGTTCAATGAAGAGATTTGATCGAAATTGTCATTTAACACGTCCAGTTTGTCAATCATTAAATAATTCATGTGAAAATGATGGATTATGTATATCAACTGATAATCGAATCAATGTTAGTGATTTTATGTGTTTATGTAAAGAAAATTTTTATGGAAAAAGATGTGAAAATCAAATTACTAATGGGATTTCTATTGAATTAAATGAATATATCATTCAGCAAGTTTCAGTTCTATTTATTCATTATATCAAAGCATTTGATCTTTCTGAACATCACCAGGTAACAGAACTAACGAAAATTAAATATGGAGAAAATCAAATACAACTTCGCGTAAAAGAACAATTTCATCTACTCTTTATTGAGCCTTTAAAAAGAAATTATTATTTAATTATTAAACAAGAAAGTTTTCGAAAATTAAATCAGATTCAAATGAAATTATCATCAAATCAACAATGTGTTTCGATACATGAATTAATGAATTCTACTTTGAAATCTTATACTTATCTTCATCGTATTAAATATTATCCACTTTTATGTCGACAATATAAACAATTAATGTGTTTTTATGATGAAACATATATGTGTATATGTGATCATAATCGATTTTCAAATTGTTTTATCTTTAATCATTCGATGACTTATGATTGTCAAGGTCAAAATTATTGTGAAAATAATGGGAAATGTTTTCAAGATAATCTCAAATGTCCTATTCAAGCATTGTGCATATGTTCTGATTGCCATTACGGTTTAAGGTGTCAGTTTACTACAAAAGGTTTTGTTTTATCACTTGATTATATTCTTAGTTATCATATTAAACCAAATCGTTCATTTTCTCAACAACCAATAATTATTAAAATCAGTATAGCTATAATAACACTTATGTTGATTTTAGGATTGATTAATGGAATTACATCAATATTAACATTTCATATGAAGAAAACAAGAAATGTAGGTTGTGGTTATTATCTTTTAATATCTTCTTCGACATCGATATGTTTAATAATTATGTTGACAATTAAATTTTGGCAACTAATTTTATCACAAATGACAATTCTTACCAATCGAGCATTTCTCGATATTAATTGTCTATTATTAGATGTCACTATCAAAGTTCTTATAGCCTTTAATGATTGGCTTAATACATGTGTTTCTATTGAACAAGCTGTAAATATTAGAAAAGGTGTCCGGTTTAACAAAACTAAAAGTAGACAAATGTCTAAATGGGTTATGTTAAGTATTCTAACTGTTACAATTCTAACACATCTTCATGATCCATTTCATCGTCAATTAATTGATGATATCGATATAGATGAAAAACGTATATGGTGTATAGTACAATATTCTTCTTCAATTAGTACTTGGAATTCATTTATTACTTTCATTCATTTTCTAATGCCTTTTTTAATCAATTTATTGGGTATAATCTTTACTATTATTTCAATTGCTCGTTCTCGTTCAAATTTACAAAGAAGATTACCATTTATAGATCATCTACGATTACAACTAAAACAACAAAGATCTCGTCTTGTGGCATCATTTGTATTCATATTATTAGCATTAGTACGATTAGTCACTTCATTTACAAATGGATGTATGAAATCACCAAATAATTCCTGGTTATTTCTTTTTGCTTATTTAGTACCATTTCTACCATCAATGATGACATTCATTGTTTATATATTACCATCAAAAGTATATAAAGAACAATTTAATATTTCTGTTCAGCAAAAACTTCGACGAATTCGTGCTTTGTTCTAAGGAATGTTATAAATATTGTTACTTAATGTTGTTTGTAATGTTTATAGTTACTTATATTGGAATTTTAATGCTTTCTAATCATATTACTAAATAAAAACTCGAACGAAACACTTACAGTAGTTGAATGTATGAAATGCAAACACGGAAAAATAGTGTCAGACCAAAATAGAAACAAGAAAGTGTTTCTAAATCATGCTTATTAGTTACTTTCTGATAAAACGCTGGTAACAAAAACAAAGTTGTGCGTCGGTGGGTGAGTGTAGAATAAAACCGCATACCCACACCTTC